ACGCCTTAGAACATCCATGATGTCCCGACTACTCCAGTTTTAGAGAAACGTCTATTGTTCTTGGCAGCCTTGCTCAGCATCTTTGAAAATACAGACGGTGGCGTTTTCGGAGGTCACCCTGTCCCTGTCTGAAGGCGCTAATCCGGCCTGCTGAAATTGTCGATGCCAGTGAAGTCTTAACATCTTAGCGTGTCGTTCTGTGAAGCTTCATAGAAAATGCCCTGAACTTTCAGGTTAAAAGAGGAGGTCGAACCAGCTAGAGGGAGAGAGAGCCTGAAATGACGCCAAAGAGTCCACTGTCCCTTTCCCCGTGCGTATTCCTTAAAACCCGCCTCTTATTTTTATAGATACGAATGCTTTTATAATTAAAAAAACCACGCACACACACAAAAGGACACAAATGCTTTGGATCCTCTCTTTATTCTGTAGGAGAATAATCCTATTTAATGGATTCTCCTCCTTTTCTGGCAGATTAAAGTGGCCACCAGGGTAACAGAGGTCTTTTACATCAGCTGCTACCTCCTCCGTTAACTGGAGATGCCAGGAGTTGAACCTGGGACCTTCTGCATGACAAACAGATGCTCTATACCACCGAGCCATTCCAGGGTCTCAGGCTGAGGTTTTTCACATCACCTGCTTTCTACTCCTTTTAACTGGAGATTGCGGGGTTGAACCTGGGACCTTCTGTATGCCAGGTAGATGAACACACACCATATACTGAATCAGACCCTTGGTCCATAAAGGTGAGCATTGTCTACTCAGACCGGCAGAGGCTTTCCAGGGTCTCAGGCAGAAGTCTTTCCCATCACCTACTGCCTGGTCCTTTTAACTGGAGATGCCGGGGATTGAACCTGGGACCTCCTGCATGCCAAGCAGATGCTCTTCCACTGAGCCACGGCCCCTATTTGCAGCTCTCCAGGGTCTCAGGCTGAGGTCTTTCCCATCACCTCCTGCCTGGTCCTTTCAACTGGAGATGCCGGGGATTGAACCTGGGACCTTCTGAGTGCCCAGCGGATGAACACACACACAAACAAATTTAGAGTCCAGTGGGGCACCTTTAAGACCAACAAAGGTTTATTCAAGGTATGAGCTTCCGTGTGGAAGGCACAGTTTGTCAAATACATTAGAATGGCAGGCAAGGTTCAAATTTATAGCCAGAGAATGAACAGCAAATTGACATACTCTTGATTATTGCAATGATTTCATGTTTTGGTGTGTGCGTTTCTTTAATGTTTAGTTTGACTGCAGTGCTGTTAGGAGAGTGATAGAGGGAGATAAGTGTGATGTGATTGGCTAATGGCTGAGAGTGTGGGAGGAGGGGTGTCTAGGAGGTGACTCTGTGTGTGAAATTTGAAGAGAGAGTTTTTGAGTCTATTCTGTGTGAATAAGACAGTTTAGTCTGTGTGAATATGAGTTTTGAGTCTATTCTGTGTGAATAAGACAAGGAGTTCAGCCTGGGTGGCTATATAGATGAGAGAGATTTGACTGAGTGTCTATACCTGTCAGAGTGGAGTTTTGGGAGTTTGAGAGACTGTTTGTGATGCCAAGCTTTGCCAGTTATATTTACAAGTTTCTTTCATCAGCACAACAGTTCAAAATAACCAGAATTTTTTTGTTCTTTATTAAATAAATCATTTTTTGTTTAAACTTATCCCAAAAATCAGAAGAGTCCTTCCTCAGGGCCACATAGTCCTCTGAAGTGCCCAGATCCTGGGTCATTCTACCAAAAGAGAGAGATTTGGAATTTTAATTCCTGGTGGCAGCAGAAATCTACCAAGTTTAGGTACACAGAGAGTGTTTTAAAGGTAAAACTGTCTCCCTAATAAGCAGGACGTCACAATCATCATCATGTTGCATGTTAATTTGCTGTTCATTCTCTGGCTATAAGATTGAACCTTACCTGCCATTCTAATGTATATGACCAAGTGCACACAAAAGCTCATACCCTGAATAAACCTTTGTTGGTCTTAAAGGTACCCCACCAGACTCTAAATTTGTTCTACTGCTTCAGACCAACACGGCTGACCAACTGGATCTACACACAAACATGAACATACATGAAGCTGAACCAGGGTCTTGGTCTGTCAAGGTCAGTCTTGCCTACTCAGACCGGCAGCAGCTCTCCAGAGTCTCAGGCGGAGATCTTTCACATCACCTCCTGCCTGGTCCTTTTTAACTGGAGATCCCGGGGGTTGAACCTGGGGCCTTCTGCAGGCCAAGTAGATGCTCTACCACTGAGCCATGATCCTTCTTGACAGCTCTCCAGGGTCTCAGGCTGAGGTCTTTCCCATCTCCTCCTACCTGGTCCTTTTTAACTGGAGGTCCCGGGGATTGAACCTGGGACCTTCTGCATGCCAAGTAGATGCTCTACCACTGAGCCATGATCCTTCTTGACAGCTCTCCAGGGTCTCAGGCTGAGGTCTTTCCCATCTCCTCCTACCTGGTCCTTTTTAACTGGAGATCCCGGGGATTGAACCTGGGACCTTCTGCATGCCAAGCAGATGCTCTACCACTGAGCCACGGCCCCCTCTTGACAGCTCTCTAGGGTCTCAAACTGAGGTCTTTTCCATCACCTCCTGCCTGCTCCTTTTAACTGGAGATGCCGGGGATTGAACCTGCGACCTTCTGTGTGCCAAGCAGAGACTCTTCCACTGAGCCACGGCCCCTCTTGACAGTTCTCCAGGATCTCAGGCCGAGGTCTTTCACATCACCTTCTGCCTGGTCCTTTTTAACTGGAGATGCTGGGGATTGAACCTGGGACCTTCTGCATGCCAAGCAGATGCTCTGCCACTGAGCCATGTCCCCCCCTCCCCCCGGGCTAGTCTCTGTTAGTGTTCTAAGGCCAGTTCAGAAGAGAGATTCCAGGCTGGGGCCGATGAGGCATTCCCCAAAGGACCCAGCTGGGGTTTTGCCTCTCTTTTGCGCTGGATACTCTGCACTCAGGAGGCTCTGGAGGGCAGTGGAGCGGCTGCACCCGCGGGGCTCCCTTTCCCGGGGGGGGGATTCTCCTGCAGCAAGGGGGACCACGGCTCCTCCTTCCTGCCTCTCTTCACTCTGGCCAGAGCAAAAGACTGGGCACAGGTGACCAGCAGGGCCCCGGCGACGGCACACAGAACCATCCCCACCGCTTGGCAGACCCCCAGGGCGTGGTTGTACTCCACCGCTTGCCTGTCCAGCACCACGAAGTCTTCTGTGCCGACGCCTTCCAGCTTGGGGGGCAGGACGAAGCCGGTGGCCAAGGCGGCGGCGCGAGCAGCAGCAGCAGGGTCCCAGCAGAGAGGGTTACCTTGGGAGGAAAATGGCACCGGATCAGGGCAGCTGCAGCCGCTTCCAGGGCACTCTCTGTCGCCCGTTTCCCACACCGGGGGGCACAGTTTGGGGTGCGTGGAAAACTACTGGAGCAGCGGCTGAAAAGAGTACCAGGTGGAACTAGGGTTGTGTTCAATAGTGGGGTCCACGGATGAACAGACCCCAAGTACAGTGACCAGCTCTACTTTATTAGCGATTTCAGCAAGGAGGAGGAAGACAAAATCCCAGGCAGAAGCCTGGTTCTTAAGCATGCAAAGAAGCCACACCCCAGACACGCCCTCTCCCAACGATAGGCTATTTACATTACCTTGTTCCTCTGTTGGTCCATTCTAGGATCCTAACCAACTATTGTTTTGTAGACACAGGCTCAACCCGACCCCATGGATAGTTTAGGGTTGACTCAGCCTTAGTACACAACAGGTTGACAGCTCTGGGTTGGGAACTACCTGGAGGTTTCGGAGCTGGAATCATAGAACCATAGAGTTGGAAGGGACCTCCAGGGTCATCTAGTCCAACTCCGTGCGCAATGCAGGGAATTCACAAAGACCTCTCCCCTACACACTCCCAGGGGCCCCTGTTCCACGCCCTGAAGATAACAAAAAACCTCCACGATCTCCAGCCAAACTGGCCTGGAGAAAAATTGCTTCTCCGAGAGGTGTCCTTGAAAAAGAGCAGTTTCCGTCAAGAGCTCTCTCAGCCCCGCCTACCTCACAGGCAGTGTTCCCCCTAAGCTGAGTTAGTGTGAGCTAGCTCCTAGTTTTTTAGCCTCCAGCTCACACATTTTTTGTCTTAGCTCAGGAAGGATGGCTCTAGAGCAAACTAATTTATGCAGCAGTGAGATCACTTGCTCACAACTTTAATGCCAGGA